CGCCGAGGACGGCGCGGGCGCAGCGACCATGGGGGCCCTGACCAGCCGGCAGCACGCGGGCGTGGAGGAGGTGGACATCCCGTCCAATTCCGTGTACCGCTACCCGCCCAAGTCCGGTGAGCACGACCCGGGGCTGGGAGGAGGTCGGGATGCTCCCGGGCGGGGACTCCGGGGGTCCCGGAGACCGAACCACCGATGTCCCTGCAAAGTGATCTTGGAGGGTGGGAGGTCTTGGAGGAGGCCTGGAGGGGTGCTTTAGGGCCTTTGGCGGGGTCGTAGAGGTGGGCAGCCTCCCCGCCGGGGGACGGGAGCGGCCTGCACACATCCGTCCTGTAACAGAGACGTGCGCTCTGGGGACTGCAGCTCCCGAGGGGCGGGGTGCCCGCCGGCCGCAGCGCTGCGTCCATCCCTTCCCCTGTGGGAACGGGAGCTGAGGGTTAAGTAAGATGGTCTTGGCATCTGAAACGGGCACCTGTGCTAGGTGCCCTGGTCCACACATCCAGGCCTCCGGAGAGGGAGGGACAGGCACAGGTTTGAATTAGGTTTCTCGGGGGATAGCTTCCATTGCCCACTGGAGGATGGTAGCGGAAAATGCCTTTGCGGTGCTGGTGCTTTGCAAGAGACTGTCAGGAGAAAAAAAAATGTTCAACAGAAATGTTGGGAAATCTAAGTATCAGAGTCACTGGGCTTGTCGCTTTGTCAGAGTAGTGGCAAGCCTGTTTTTTTGGAATGAGGATAGCTCAGAGACAGGGCACAGGTATGTAAAATGTATAGAGGTACTATGTTTCCAAAATCATTAACAAGATAAATGTCTCCAGCCTCTGGTTTGTAGCATAAATGTTGAAAGTGGAGGGGGATTTTGATAGCACAAGAGAAGCTCACAAGTGGATTGAGGACCTGCCGGTTCTGAACGGCTGGTGCATGACTTGACTCTTTGCTCTTCATTTTTCATTGCTTTCCGTAAGACTTTTGGGGATCCATGGCTGCTATCTTCTCTTTGACTTAGGACCTGATGAGGATGTTGGTGATCTTGGAGAGGTGTCAGAATTGCAGCAGTAGAATAAAGACATGCTAATGAGATGAGCTGGCTTCTCAGCAGTCTGTCCAGTTTGTGCCAGGTGAAAGCAGGGACCAGACAATGAACCTGCACCCTGCAGAGTCTCTGCCAGACTTGTATTGCTCACTGCTCTTCGTGCCAAAGAATGAATCCTTGCAGAGACGAATATGCTTCAGAGCTGCTTTAGAACAGTCTAAGATAAAGGCGTGGGTCATTAGTGTTTTAATAAAGTTCTAGCTAATTATGACTCTACGAAACCAGTGCACAAGGAAGCATGTGTTTTGCTTTTTAGTAGACAAAAATATGCCTAAGTGTCTGTGGATTTTTCTTTTCTGAAATCACTTAGCTTTTATTGATCAGGATTTGGAGCATGTTTTGCTGACCTTGGAGTTTTCAGAAGAGTTTGCTGCTCCAGAAGAGAATTCACCCCGCCTTTCAATATGAGAATTAGCCTTCACTGGAAGGCAATTCCCCAAAGGATGTTAACACAAGTATGAATCTTGGAATGATGATAATTAAAGGGTAATGGACCAAAACTTTTCTTAAGCAACACGCTGAATACCTACGGTCTTAAATCATCGTCTCCACTCCACCAATCCTTTGAAAGTTTTACCTAATGGTAACTTATTTTTGTTTGTTTGTTTGTTTAGATAATGGTAACTGATTTTTAATCAGAGCTTTTGTATCAGAGAAATCTTTGCAGCAAGTGGACCAAATTATGTGTACTGAAGGTAAAACAGAAAATAGGAATCAGAACTTTCATGTCCCTGTCAGCAAACCTTTGAGTCCTTGAAACTTTGTGTCCTTGCGTGTATGCTCTAGTCTAGAGGCACCTCCTTTTCGTTACTGTTGTTGTGGGTTTGGGGGGGGGTGATTAGGTGTATTATTTGTGGTACCGGGGATTGAACCCAGGACCTTGTGCATGCTAGGCATCCCCACCTAGAGACACCTCTTATCCTTCACCTAATCTTGAAATTCACCTGGCTTTTCACTCAACTATAGTATTTTAGACCCAAAAGATCCTTCCAGAGAATTTGGCCCCAGACCCACTCATTTGGCCAGGGTTACCTGGCAGGTGAGCGCTCTTCTTCCTAAACCATCAGCCTCTCTGCCTTTCTCGAGGAACTGGATTTTGAACTTGTCCTGGATGATTTGTGGAATGAGGCTGTTCTGCATCAGAATTGAAATAAAACTCAGGGGTCTGTCTCCCTGTTGCAGAATCAGACTGGGTTGATTTTGAGGACTCCTTCACTGAGTACTGATAGCAGAACAAAGCAAATAGCAGGTGACTGACCTGGCTCAGCTGAGACCGCCCTCGGGCTCACTGGGAAGTCTCTGTAACTCTAACGCCTTGGAATAGTTGTTTCAGCGAGCAGCACGGTCACGTCTCCCTTTAATGATGGTCACAGTGCCGAGCAGAAATTGCTTGTGTGTGTGTGTGTGTATTTTTTCAAGGAACCCCCAAGTTTTGTATGCATGTTGAACTGGAAAAATTTCGAAAGTATTCAGAACAGCTGATTTCATGCTGGAACATGAGTTTGTAGTTTTTCCTTTTTCTTTTTTTAAATAAAGGTAGGTGAAAATAAAATAGCCCCAAATTATTTAGAATTATTTACGTTTTGAATAAGTAATATAACCACACGGTTTGAAGTTTAACAGAATGAAAAGGCATACGGTGAAGGTCAAGTTCTCACTGTGGTTGTTCATCCACCCAGTTCCTCCCCACACCCCTCCTGTATCTAGGTAACCACTTCTGGTTTCTTTGGAATTCTTCCAGAATATCTTGTGTAAATATGAGCGTAGAATGCTATTTAGACTATTCTGCCTTTTTTTCACTTTCAGAGATATTGGGGATCTTTTTATATTATCTCCATGTTGAAGAAGGTTTTTTGGTGGTTGTTCTTTTTATTAAAAAAACAGCTGTATAATATTCCTTTGTGTGCACTTGCCACCCATTATTAACGTGGTGTCCTATTGGTGAACATTTGGGAGGTTTTTTTCCCCCCAATCTTTTATTATTGAAAATTATGCAGCAATGTTATATATATGTATGTTCTTAGGTGGTTTTTTAGCTTTGTTAATAAACACATGAATATTAATCATTTAAATTACAGAAGGTATGATGGGCGTTTGTTTCTGTAGAGTATTTCCACATTAGCATAGAAAGCTATTTTTAGTACTATTCTGCATTTGTAGTTTTTAAAAACATTTTTATTTATTTTTATTATTTTGGGGGGAGATAGTTAGGTTTATTTACTTAAATATGTTTAGGAGGAGTCCTGGGGACTGAACCCAGGACCTCGTACATGCTAAACATGCACTCTACCACTTGAGCGATACCCTTCCCTTAGCTTTGTAGTTTTTGAGTTAGAAGCCATATGTGCTTTTAAATCCTTCTCTGAGATCTTTGCTTCTTTGAAAGCCCACGATCATTTGTTCAGCAAAGGTATGGCTTTGCCAAGGTGGTTGTTTTTCTGCACGCGTGCCCATCTTTAGAAAGGGGTTCCCCATGTTGATAAGAATCGTTAGGTCTGCTTTGTTTTGTTTTTTTTCGGTCTGTTTTCTCTATCCAGGTAGAAATAGGCATACTATGAAGACAATTTAATTCATGTTAATTCAGGACCTGATAAGTCTGTTTTTTTCTCTCTACCTATGTGAGCAAATTGGAAAATGGGAGCAGCTCATTTTGCTCGGGTGTTCAGAGGGAAACCTGTCACAGAAATTCAGAATGGGAATCAGAGTCCTGAGCAGCTAGCACCACCATTATCCAAATTTTGGTTATATTGGATGACACATAGGCTTGCCAAGTGGTCTGTCCTAGGGCAAGAGCAGTTTTTAAAGCTTGGACCCGGAGGGTACAGCTCAGTAGTAGAGTGCGTGCTTAGCGTGCATGAGATCCTGGGTTCAATCCCCAGTACCTCCATTAAATAAATAAAATAAAGCTTGATAATAATAAGTCTTTGCCTGTCAAATAGAAAAGTTTCTCTTAGCTTTTAGGAGCATCAATTTCATGTTAGTTTTGAAATTTAAAAATATGGAACTTACCACAGAATACAGAACTATTTGATTCTGGCCCATTTTAATTGATCTGTGAACGAAAATTAAATAGATTTCTGAAATTCATAGTAAATACATTCAATAGCATAAAAAAAACACTGAATGTTGCTCCATTTAATAATGAAGTCATCAAGATCAAGCGTTCAAATGCCAGTATTATTTTTTGAACACTTAAAATGCAATAATTCTTCTACTTTCAAAATCTCCAGGGTTTTTGCTTTAGTTGCACTTTACTTCATTGAAAGCAGATTGATTTCTTTCACTTCCTGATTTTGTCTTAAGATTTGGGGCCTTTGGTGTCCGTATATGATGGTGGTTGTGTTCTTTGGTTCTTTAGCATCTTTCTTCTCTTTCTGTTTATGACCATCTAAGCACATTATTGAGTGCCTACTGTATGTATCGTGCAGCGTGCTCCACACCGGTGTATAGATTCTCATCCTGTGATTTTGATGCCTGTGGTAAGTAGCAGGACAGAAGCCCTCAAGTCAGTCAACTTTGTAATTCATGTAACTCACAGAAGGGAGGATTAACAATACAAGCTGCTTGGCGGCTGTATCAGCCAGAGGTCTCCAGTGAAAGAGAACTATTTCGTGATAAATATATATAATTGGCCCTCGTTATTGTGGGGGCTGGCAAATCTAAAATTTGTAGGGCAGGCCAGCAAGCTGGAAACTCAGGCAGGATTTCTATGTTATAGTCTTAAGGCAGAATTCCTTTTTCTCTGGGAAACCTCAGTTTTTGCTCTCAAGGCCTTCAACTAATTGGAGGAAGCCCACCCACTTTATCAAGGGTAATCTCTTTTACTTAAAGCCAACTAATTATAAATGTTAATCACGTCTACAAAATACCCACCTCTAGATTAGTGTTTGGACAAATAACTGGGCACCATAGCCTAGCCAAGCTGACACATAAAATTTAACAATCACAGTGTCTTCTTATTTTAGCAAAATATTCTTGCTAAATAGGTGCTGAGCTTAAGTTTTCAGTTGTTGAAAGAGTGCC